AAATTTTATTTAGTTATTTTTTTTTTACTTAGTGGACACCGGCCAAAAGTGGCCCGTGTGGCTCGGCGAGCCACACGGGTCAGCCCGGGCTCGACTCGGTGCCCCCAAATGGGGCTCGGCTCGAGCCTCGGCTCGATCCGAGCCGCCGAGCTTTTTTGCCACCGCTACATATATATATCAGAAACCAACATTAACAATAATGTAATCAACAGAAAACTCCCCTATCAACAGTGCTGCTTCCCTTCCATCTTGGTCGAACCCGTGTGCACCCTTTTTCTCTCCAATGGTTGAAGCTTTTAGGCTCAGGAACAGTTTCAACCCACGCTTGCAATCCACCATCCAGAGAGAAGGAGAACTCCAGAGAATACCCGGTGAAGAATCGGTTTGGTCATTGATCGAGGAAGATCTCCCAAACGGCCACAGATTCTACCAGACGACTTAGAGAAGGATGCGAATGTTCTAGCCACTATTTCAGGCCTAGAAACCCTACAGTATCACCCTCTAACTCACCGAATATCACCCACACACAAAACCCCCAAAAAGGAGAGAAACCGAGAGCCCCAAAGTCGAGAGCAGTCAAGAGAGGAAGAAGAGAGAGTGTCGTATGGAGGAAGCCAATGTTATATTCAAAGTATTGACCAAGAAAATGTCTAACCAAGAATATAACCTAGCCATAGATTAAAATCCAAGGGTCACAAATGGTTCCAATAAAACACACAATCCGGGTCATCTTAAAGTTATCAATAAGTGAGTGCCACTTAAGCAACAAAAAGAATGGGTAATAAACCGGCCCAGAAAGTTAGGAGAACCACAAAAGAGGCCCAATAAACTCACAAAACAGAAATGCTTAACTAGTTAGGTTCCTTATTTTATGCGCACATCATTCCACCAAGTCAGATTCGTACTTGTATATAAGCCTTCACTTCTATCCGTTCACTCTAATTTCATCCCAATAATCCGCTTTCAACAACTGCCTTTTTCCCTCCACTCCCTCCCTCTCAGTCTTACGTTTTTCTCTTTTGAGATCTTTAACAAACTAATTTAATTCCATATTGCTCGTGATATAAATACTTTGGGCACCCTCCCCTTACAAGCCGGTTCTAAGGGCAAGTTCAATCCAGAGTGGTTGTTAAAATTGTATAAGATAAGAAGGAATCCCAACATACCTGTCAACTACAGTTTCTTGAAAGAACTCCACCCTCGTCCTTGTATCCACAGAGCCATTCAGATCTTTAAAAACCCTGATCGACAACACAGATTACAAAGGTTCCTACAGAGTTGGTAACTTTGAATTCAGATAGTTAGAACAAGATGGGGTTCCCGAATCAGCAATGCTTAATTGTGGGCAAACAACTGGTGGACAGCTAACCATATTCAGAAGGACCTACTTCTTGACAATGGGATGCAGATTTTCGTGAAAAACCGAACTGGAAAACAATTACAATCACAATGAAGGAGTTTTGAAACAGCTGTCAAAATTAAGGGACCTCCTGATGCGAAGTTACGAAATGCAACTCACAGTTGCAAATTCATCAATGTATAGTAAATTTACTAATAGAATGTCTAATGATCTGTCTAAACTCACACCGTATGTTCCATACAATCAAGAAGCCCGAAAAGTATGCCTATTCATAGATTTGATGTTGAAAGCTAAAAGGGCATGCGAGCAATTCATCTTTCCTTCTCAGGACTAATCCAACAGCCTTAATTTCGAGGAAACAAACATGAATTAACTGTTGATGCCATCTCACCAACCAATTTCAGTAGGGCGGAAGGGGGGGGTGTTCGGTCAGTATTCATGTTATCCTTCAAGGTTGTAACTAAAACCAAAGGGTCGTGAATCGAAGCTTAACTACTTATTGCACAGACTGATTGGTTAAATATATTGAATTTTAAAGGACGTTTCATTTTCTTTTTCAGTAAATAAAGCTGCATTGCAGTTTCAATATAGTCATGTCACGTGCTAAAGAATGATTCATAAAATTACTTGCTGTGTAAGGTTTTAAGTCGAAAGCCCGGCTAATGACATTTTACTTATAAACAAATCATTCACCAGAAAAAGAAGACTACAAAACAAGACAAATTCCCAGTTGAACAAGGCAGACCAGCTAATGACATTTTACTTATTAAATATTGTTATCAATCAAGAAACAAAGACAATTCTATTCAGTCTTCCAGGCATACAAAAATAACGAAAAACCAAGACCTGGTAAATTAGAATCCCGGAAATTCTCCGAGCCACTCCGAGAAAATACGGCGGGATGAGACACTGGTTGCCTTGTCCACAGGTTCTCAGCAGACAAACAAGTTTGAAACATGAATACTGCATTGCGTAGACTCGGACAGAATAACCAATTATGCACATCCCAAAAGATTTCCACAGGGAGGCCATCGACCAAAATGGTATAGTTTCCACGAAATTTCCACTGTAAGTGCTTCACCTGCATCACTTGTTTCGTATCAATACGAACCACAAGGCACGGATCATTGCCTCCATTTGTATCACACTCGATTTTGAGATCATGAATCGGTCCATTATGGTAGAATTGTGCCCTAGTACCATAAACCCTCTTCCCAAAAATATGTTCCCTTTTGGAAAGGAATATAGTACTGGAAATTGAAGAGGCTGCACCAGTTTTCTTAAATGCTTCTTTCCTCAGATCCCCAATTAACACGACTATTTCCCCTTTACAAACGACTGCTACAAAATACGCCTCCAACGGCTCTGGCCCAGATCCAAATTTTGCCAAAGAAAGATCCCAAAGTACTTCAATTTTACTTGAATTAACTTCAAAACACTTTGATCCTTTCCATTTTGAGAACAAAGAGGGTTTTATATCAATTTTACAGATCAATTGATGTGATAAATCATCTATTTCAACACTTAGGCATTGACCCATCAAACTCTTGCTCCAAACAAAGTTCACTAAACAAGACTTACCAAGCAATTTACACCTATATGTGCAAGTAACCAAATTTTGAGAAGCTTTACTAACACCTACACCTGAACAAGAAGCATCAGCAACTTGAACTCCATTTTCACCAAAACAAGATGGGAAGTCCCTCATTTTTCAATATATTCAAGAAAATCCAAGATCTTGTAAAAAATGTGATCTTTATGTACCCTTATGAACGCTTAATGAATCGAGCCTCGACAAAATGGAAAAAGGACAGGTGAAAACATACCAGATATGAATTATCAGATGGTGAAATCAAGAACTCATGTCCTCAAATGTTAAATTATCACTTCAAATGGCGGAAATTATGAAGTTTTTGGAGGTAATGAAGAAAAGTGCATTGATTTTAAAGTACCGGTAATCCAAAAAATTGAAAGAAATAGGAGAAATGAAATTCTAGATTGTGGGAATATATTTTAGTTTTGTGGGGACGTAGAAAAGCCGAGGACTGGAATCATTTTATCAGGCTATCTTTGTCTTTTTTACTAATTGGAAACCATATCCAGAGTTTGAAACTACTTTTTCTTGTAAATAATTATACTCACATCACATGCTATTGCTAACTGCGCGTGTTATGGAAAATTAGAAGTGAAAAAAGGAAAATGAAATGTGCTTTAAAATTCAAAATATTTGACCAATCGACCTGTACAATTTGAACTAGAGAATGTTTGGCTAAGCTTAACAAAAATATAAGTATTTTGCACGATGTGTTGTTCTTTTTGATGTTTTGAAGTAAAAGAAAAAGATTGTTTATTCCAGAAATAAGTTTAATTTTACTACATCAAACGTGCCCTTATTTATTTTTAATTTATTATGTAAAAAAGTAGTAGAAAATTTCCATACAAGGTCCTCGAGGTGAAATTGTCCATCATTTTTTTTGGCTAGCTCCTCATCAATTTTCAAATTAGTTTCTTCTTTGTTCCCGTTTTAAAATCCGTGAGTCAATATGAAGTTGCGCATGCAGGACGAATATAAATAAATGTCATTTTTTTTCAACTTTAAAATAAAGACTACCCAAAAAAAAATGTAGATCATAGGCAAAATTTCTCAAATGGCCTTGAAGAAATTAAAATAAAAAAATAATTAAATGAAACAAATAATCGCTAACAGGCTGTCAATAAATACAAAAACTATTATAATCGACGATCGTGATAAAAATCGATATTTGTCAATGTACCCTCGATTATCATTAACGCACCTCCGTTGACGAATACTAACATTATTGTTTTCGACAATCAAAGACTGTACTTTAGCTGATAATTGCTGACAAAGAAATTTTTCACGTCACCAATTACTCTTTCTTTGATTTTTGATTATTTTCGTCAGTTTATACACGAGGAGATCTTTACGAAAGATAAAGTCGAAGAACAAACGAAGTCATGAACAAACGAAGTCATGAACAAGGACTGAGTTGTTCTGAAAATAGAAGGCTAAAGAGCATATTGTCGAAGAGAGAGAGAGAGAGAGAGAGAGACCAGAGCAACATGTTTTAAAAAGTTAATAAAAAGGGAAAAAATCCAATATAATTATTTTAAAGGTCAAAAAGTGATTGTGTAAGAGACAAGCAAAATAATATATAAATTATCTCATGAATTATATTATTAAAAAACCCTAATCATACCATAATCCAATTTCATTTTTAAAAAATTTTGCCAACCAGAAAAGTTTGAAATGAAAGCTGGCTTGCAATGAAAGCAATTAGCTTTACTTTTTGCTTTTTTATTCACAAGAATATTATTATACTATGTATTATTATTATTGTCTTTTTTTTTTTCATTTTTTTTTTCCTTTTTTGAGTCATAAGTATGGATGTATTAAGCTGTCTATTTACACTTTTGTCCTATAAGGCCCATAAGAAACCAACATACCATGTGGAATTTAAAAGTGATATGGAATATTTGTCTTTTAAGACAAACATTATAAATACAAGATATGGTAGAACACGCAATGTTATTAAAATCGATCGAATTAGTTATGGTCAGAAATCAATATAGTTAAAACCAATGTCGTCGGATCCTCAAGAGATAGAATTAAGCACATAAATAACACTCAAAATGGGCCACTCACAACTAAAAAGACGGAATAATACGATTAGGTCCAACTCAAAAGGAGAGGAAATGCAACAAAAGAATAACATGCAGACATGATCGAGCACTCTCAATCCCAATCTTATGCACCGACACTTCGAAAAGTCTCATCAAACTCAAAAATATAGACTAAATGATGGATACTAAACCTATTAAATCATTAACAAATTTACCGGGATATAGTTCTTTTCAATATCATAGTCGAGTCTAAAATTATGTAATATTCCTTTTCTTTTTTTTTCATTTTTGGATACTCAAAAAGAAGTTGGGATATTCACTATTTACAATGGGATTTGGTAACATTTGAGACTTTGAGTTGGGCATCGAGATTGTGTCCAAATTCAATCACAATGGGTTTCTTTTGCCAGTCCCATTTTTTGAAAAAAAAAATTACTTTGACCTCATTTCAATCGTACATTCTTCAATAAAATAATGTTACACGTAAATTCAAATTTTTTCTTATTTTTGACCGCGGGGGTTCTCATCAATTTACTATTCGAAAATGTATTTTTATATTTTTTTTAAATGGGGCTCAAACATGCTAGTACGAAGCTTATTAATTTATATGGGCCAGGTCCAAGTCCTTGTTGGTGCGCCACCAATCACAAATCAGTAACACATGTGAGCAGATCATGTCTCTGTATGTAAGTTGGGTTGACCCACATAAAGGCCCAATGCCGCAAGAGTTGAAAGGAATTACATTGTTTATTGGGGTAATTACAAAAAAACGCTTGAAATTAGGGAAGAGTCACAAATCAGACATTAACTTTTACAATTGCAAAAATCAGGTATTTCATTTTAAAAATGCAAAAATCAGGTATTTAGTTAATTAAATATAACGTATACAATTGTAAAAATCAGGTATTAAGTTTTAAAAAGGCAAAAACTAGGTAGTTACTTAATTAATTAAATATATTAAAATCAAAATTATACAATTCATGGTCACAGATGCACACTTGCGAGTCACAATTCATTTACTGGTCACATATTATCAAATTAATTGGTCATAGGTTAGGTCACAAATCAAAAATGTTATACATCACAGTTTATTTCATTAGTCACAGATCAAAAAAATTATAGGTCACAATTTATCTATTGATCACACATTTTCAAAATTGTTGGTCACAAATTATCGAATTTTAAGATCACATTCATATTAAACCAAATAGTTGGTCACATGCACCAAACACCCCACCCCGGATCTCGATCCATCACAGATATTTGGTCACAGGTCAACCAAACCCCCTACAACAACACCAGTGCCAACAAAAATATCACAACCACCACTTCCATCACCACCACCAGTACCACCGCTACCGCCATCACCATTTTTGCAACATCACAATCGCCACACCAGCAACACCACCACACATACCACCAGTCACCGTCGCCACCATCGCCAACACACCACCACACATCACCTACTACACACCACCACAGCCACCACCACAAAACCGCCACCACATAAAATACCACCTCCACACAAAAACACCACCCAAATCTCTAGTGCATCATCGGTGTAGCCAGAACCACCACCATTGCGCCAACACCAACGTCACCAGAAACTCAACCACCTCACGACAACTAGTGACCAGAATCTCTCTCTCAAACAAACAGCCACTGATTCACCACCACCACCAACAAACTACCATTTTCAACTACAAAACCACCACTTTCACCGCCAAAATTCAATAAACCCACCTCAAACGCCAGATCCACCACCCACCACGCAAAACACCACCACCACACAAACCTCACTACAATATTAGGGATTTTCTCAAATTTTCCAAATTCCAATTCCCAAATTAACTACACAAAATAACCCTTTTGAATCCAATAGTAGGAGCTAAAGAGAAGGATTAGGGCAATGGAGTGGAAGAGGAAGAAGAGACAATAGAGTTGCGTGATCTCATTCTGAGCCGAGTCGATTTGGGTCGCTTTGAGGGAGATTCTGTAGAGGATTAGCTCTTCTTCTTTCAGCCATTGCTTGAGGAGGAGCTTGTGAGATGGGGTCTCTGCTATTTGGTGGAACGAGTGCAGAGGCTTCGACTCCATTATTAACGACGTCAATTTCTTGTTGTCGTCTTCATCGGCCATGAATATGGAGATTTATTGAGAGAGAGAGAGATGAATAAGAGAGAGAAGGGAGAGAAAAGAAGAGAATGAGAATGAAGAGTGAAAAATAATTAGGGTTTGGATGGATGAAGTTAATTTAATTTTAAGATATTAAAAAGTTTAAATTGATACCTGATTTTTGAAATGTGATCTTGCAATATCAGGATTTGTGCAATTTCCTCTTAAAATTAATGGCTTTTTGAAAAATCATTGTAAAAGATATTTAATTTGTACTAAACTTAAATTAGTAATTAAAAAAATATTAACTACTGTCAAAATCCACAATTAAAATACCCCATTACAAACTCCAATAGCTTGGCACTAACTCCCGAAGATCAAAAAAACTGTTTTTATTCCCCAATTAATTCCAATAAATCCAAATTCAATCACAATACCTAATTGTAGAAACGAAATATTCTCATCCACTAAAACATGTTAATAACTTTGTTATCAAGTTGTTATCAAGCGATATATTCCCATCCACTAAATAATTTTCTAGAGGCATCCATTTGGATTTTGTTGAATTCCTTCAAACTTGCTCGCCAACAAAAAGAAGGATCAAAACAATGGCCAGAGCTCTTTGAATGGAGGCGTGTTCAGAACCCAAAACCTATAATGAAGTAGCTGACCTTGAAGCCATATTTGCCTTAAAAGAGTATACTACTAATGAATTTAAGGTTTCCATAATGGCTTTTCTTTTGCAGTTATTATTGATTTTTGTTTTAGTCTTACTTATTTTGCTTTCTCTTTAATTTGGTTTAGTTTCATTTTTGAGCTAGGATGATTGGCTCTCTTCTTAGGCCTTTGAGAGGAAATGAGTTGAATTAATATATATGAAAAATTAACTTTAAATCAATTTAGGGAGATGCGACGTGTACATAATTGTGTAAACACGACTTTACACCCCCCTCACATGGAGGGGGCCCACACATAATAAAATATTCGTGAGCCCCCTCCATGTGAGGATGGTATAAAGCTGTGTGTACACCATGTGGTGTACACATAGCATTTTTCATCAATTTAAATGATGCATGTGAGGTGTTTATGAAAATGAGAATGTAAAATGTGATACTCTCTGCCACTTTTATCTAAAAGGGTCGCAATATATCTCATTCAAATTCTTTTGAAGCCATTAAATAGATTCATACATGTTTATTTTTAAAAATTTAAATATATGAATTCAAATCTTGTTTTACATTAAAAAGTGATAATGTAACACTTTATTTGTATTTTTGCATATCAATTATTTTGCTGAAAATTAAAAGTAGCAGATTATATCACTTTTTTAAAAAAAGTCTCACATAATTTCATTTGTATTTCTTTGTAGATATTGATAAAATTAATGCCTTCATTTGTTATCGAGGCAAGTGAAGACAAGATCATAAATATAAAAGTGATAAAATGAGAAATTATTGCCCCGATAGATTGTACAAACAACTTTTGTTAAAAATGTAAATGTCACTTTCTGTAGTATGATTAACTCTTAATCCTATAAAATGAGAAGAGAAAGACTATTAAACGAAGAGTGATAGAAAATTTTGAAAATGACAAATATTCAAAAAAATGACAAAAACTCAAAATAATCAGTTTTAAGGGTATTAATCTAATATTTTATTTTTAAAGATAGTGGCCCAATTTTTCCATTTTTTGTTTATTAATTCAAATATTTAGCCCACACCAAAGGTCCATATTTAACCAGGGCAACTTACAAAAATACCCCTAAAATTAGGGGTCTTTTGAAAAATTATACAAAAAGTATTTTGAAAGTAAAAAATATTGTCACTCTTTTTATTAAAAAGTGACACAATGACGTTTTTTAAAGTTAAGTATTACTTTTTTTTTATTAAAAAATGAAATACAATCTCGCTTTTATTAAAAAGTGGTGTTTATTACTAAAAAAAGTGACAAAATTTTGAAGAAAGTGATAAAAACATTCTAAAAAGGCACAAAAATTTCAAAAAGTGATAAACATTCAAAAAGTGGCAAAACACTAATCAAAACCTTAGAATCAATTTAATAAAATGACAAAAATTAAAAAAAATGACTACTAAAAAAAGTGACAAAACACTAATTAAAATTTTGAAATCAATTCAATAAAGTGACAAAATTTTTTAAAAAATGATAAAAATTCAAAAAAGTGACGAAACACTGATCATTTTTTTGGATGAATTGTATCACTTTTTAATAAAAACTTAAGTGCAATGTCACTTTTAGTATCACTTTTTAATATAAAAAATGACATATAATATCACTTATTAAAAAGTGAAGAGAAATACAATATCACTTTTATTACAAAGTGATTTTTGTCACTAAAAAAATGACAGAAATTATAAAAAAAAGGTAGCAAACAATAAAAAAGATGATAGGAGAAAGTGACAAATACTAAAAAAATGACATGACTTTAAAAAAAAAAAAGACAAATGTTTAAAAAAGTGACAAAGTTTAAAAAATTTGAAAACATTTGAAAAAGTGACAACACCAATAACAAACAAAAGATTGATAGCAAGTTTGGTTGAATCCATTCCAAAGAAACAAAAGAAAGTAGGACTCTCAAAACCAATAGACTGGTAATAACATAGAAACTTGGGGATAAATCCTTAGACAATTAGACGTGGTTTAGCATTCCTCGGTAACCAACTAAGCAGCAGAGCCTCCAGTCCGATGCAACTTAGCATCAATCTCATATCGTCCTCCATTTCCAGTTATAATGAATAAATTCAAAAATTAAACTTCTTTCCTTTAGATTAAAGAGCATGCAAGAAACATGAAGATGAAATGGAGAGAGATTGTAAATGCTTGGGGAAAAGAAGAAGAAATCAATCAAATAACAGGGACAAAAAGACCCACCAAACCATGAACTCCAATTTCGATTTCTCATCAACAAGTCATTCCCAACTATCCCCCAAAACTCCATCACTTTGTCTTTCTTTCCATGCTATCTATATCCGAATACAAAAAAACAAAAAATGTATACAGAAAACTCAATTGCTAGAAACCATAAAGGGAACAATAAATTCCAAATAAAATACTCAAATTAATCACGACAAAATAGGAATCAAAAAAATGTATCCACACAAAACCCAGTTGCTAAAATTCATAAAATATTCTAACTATCAGAATCCAGCATGGATTGCAGAACTTCACAATCAAAATCAATGGTGAAAACTGAGAAATTCAAAATTGAGGGAGATACCAGAAGACGTGAGAAAACCAAAAGTGATGTAAGTGTAGAGATCGATGGCGGCAGCCACAACATTGGATCCATGAATCACTATATATTCACCTTCGAGTATAATTTTTTTGAGGTGCTTGGGCTCTCAATTCCATTTTTCAGGACAAAAATTGTAGATTCTTCATCTGATAAAATCGATCCCTTTATGAACTACAAATTTGAGTCTCTCTGTGTTTGTATATATAAATGCTGGTGTGTTAAAGTGAGGGAGGCAGAGATGGTGGAGAAATTGAATGAGGTAATTTGATAGATTTATCAACATATTTAATACGGTTTTGGAAGGTTTTACATTTTTTTATGGGTATTAATCTAATTTGTTATTTTTGTAGAGCAATAGGCTTAATTATCCCTTGTTTATTTCACAAATAAATTTCCTTTTCTCGGTTATATGTGAGAAATTATCATTCAAATAATTAAAATAATCCAGTTTTTTTATTAATTTTAAGAATGTACAATAAATTTATTCAAAATTTAGCTACAGAAATCCTATAATTTCAATATAAAAAATCATATTTATAAATTTGAAATTCATGGGAAGATAGCTCTAACTAATGAATTGACATAGGACATACAATTCTAAAATGGGAAAGCTTAAAAATTTCTATTGCGACTTGGATAAAACTACTTTACCAAAAGGATTCGATAGAAAACTTGATATAATTGCATACAACATTAGATGATTGGATGAAAAAGTTAACTATGTTGTAAATTGTCCAATAATATAATGTTACGTGACAATATGTCAAGTTTTATGTCAACCTTGATTTTTATGTAGCATAATTGTTGCAACTTTGTTCCTTAGTCTAATATAATTTCGTTGCATATTTGTTATAAGATCAAAGATCACTTTCTTTCTCTCACCAAATTTCTTTGCAAGTTCAATGAAAAATCTAATATTTTACTATGACAAAAGTGTTGCATTCATTGTGGTTGAATGTATAATACTAAGCAATACGTAATGAAAAAAAAAAAAAATTGAAAAAATCAGCGTCAAAGTGATGATCAAAGTAATATTTATATTTTTTGTAAATGGAAAAATAATATCATCAATGTAATCGTCGATACATGGTATATGACAAAGATCATTTTTCTGTAAGTGATACATTCAGTATTATTGACAACAATTCAATTAATAATCAACAAACACATCCATCAACGCTTGTGATATCGCAATAAACGTCAGTGCTTTTGGCATAGGTCCCCAACTACGAAACATTTATTGTTTCACTATTTTTTTTAAACAAATGTATAGTGAACGTTGGCAACTAACAACTGAAGCATTGTCGACGATATTATCGTTAAAAATTGCTAACGAATATGCATCAGTGATAAATGATTCCTTCTATGATCATTTATTCTATTTAAATTCTTTTTATGGTCAATTTTTAAAAAAATATTTGGAATGAAATTTCTAAAATTTTGGAGTCTTCGATTGTCTCAATTGTTTAAAGTTAAATTGGATACGAGTCCACTGCCATTTATAATATATATTTTGAGAAATTATTTAAACTATAAAATTGAGACGAATGTCAATACAAAAATGATTTAATTATTAATCTTCATTTTATTATGATTTAATTCGAAGGACTGTTTTTCTATCTTGCTAAGATAAAACAATTCGTTTGAAAGATCAAACTTATGGTCAGCCATGGCACCTTTCATGACCTTCTGAAAGCAAATCTCTAGACTCTAGGGTTTGGTGGGGCTATTTAAATTATCTAATAATTCTGATTTTACCCATCTCATAGTTGACCAGCTCAATACACATTTCGCTTCAAGCTAAAGGTCTAGAAGCTTCTAATTTGATTAAAAACAGGCCACCTATGAAAAGTTTTTTTTTTTTTATGGGATGTGCAAGGCATGAAAAATGTGCGAACATTCTGATTAAATGAAATCTTTTCACGAGTAACATAAATTGAAAAGGGTACTAATTGGTGTTTAAAATGTGTTAAACTATACAGAGTCGAGGTCCATACCAACTTATTTTCTTTTGAAAAATAAAAAATTAAAACTTGTGCGAAGTCGCTTCTATTATACGAGATTAGACAAGTTCAAAAGAGGGTAGGTGCCTAACTCGAGTTCAGTCAAAATAAGGTTGCTGGCCAAATGTACATCCAATATCTCTAGCCACTAGCCCACTAGTATGATTTGCAATGCAAAGGGACCACAGGATGAGTGACTAGACCCACAATTATCACAGACATTATGAAAATTGAAAAATGTCATCAGGCAAAATGTTTCTCTTGACTTAATGAAGTACCGAGTAACGCAACTTGAACTAAAATCTAGTCACCCAGTTGTGCAAATGCCACACAAAGAAAGATAAATCTATATAATATACTGTGCTGGTCCCTGTTTTGCAAGCTGTTGTAATGCATACAGACACATACACTAGTGTCTAGTGGGGGGGTGGCGTGGGGCGGTTTTACAACTCGTGATGAGATAGAAAGTGAACACAGAAAGTAAAATATCAAGAAGAGAGAGGTATTTTGTCTGGATTTGCCTGTGGAGTAGTCTATTAGTCTTTGAGAAATCTTTACACTAAATGGATTAATTTATAATATACAATAGTATACTGGTTTTCTTGTATTGATCCTAGATTGATTGAAAGCATTCACTATTTGAAACCAAGAAACTATAGCCCAAGAACTGTTTGATCAAATAGCTAAAAGGGATGAATGGTGTCACTGGGCATGAACCAAATCTTGATTCAGATAATTCTGGGTTTGTTGAAATTGATCCTACTGGAAGATATGGAAGGGTATGATTTTGTGCTTTTCATTGCAACTAATTGTTAATGTGTTGTTTTGTCCTTAATTTGATGAATTTAAAGTTGTTTCTTTGCTTCTTGCAATTGCAGTACAATGAGATTCTTGGTAAAGGGGCTTCAAAAACAGTGTTAGTAGCTATGTTCCTGTATTTCCTTTCTGCAAAATATGATATTTTTAGCATTATAATATTGGGTTCTTTTTGCTGCAGTTATAGAGCTTTTGATGAGTATGAAGGGATTGAGGTAGCCTGGAATCAAGTGAAGCTTTATGATTTTCTGCAGAGTCCTGAAGACCTTGAGAGGTTGTATTGTGAAATTCATCTGCTCAAGACTTTGAAACACAGAAATATTATGAAGTTCTACACTTCTTGGGTCGATGCTGCAAATAGGAACATCAATTTTGTGACAGAGAAGTTCACCTCTGGTACTCTCAGACAGTAAGTTATTGAATCATCTCGTCTAAAAGTAATTTATATAAATTTTAATGTGAAAATTTAGTCTCCCCTTCACACGAAGGCTGAATTTATTTTTCATCAAAGGTGACAATGTCACACCCTCAAATTTCGTAAATGATGAGATTTGAACTCAGAATCTTTGTTTGCTCAATGATGCAATTTTGAACCATCTATTCTGTAAGTTTAAACTTTTAGACGAGATGGTTGAAAATAAGTACTAATGAGTATCTACAAAATAAATTCTTCTACTTTTGGAGATTCGATAAACAGGGCATTCCCAAATTTTTATGTTCTAATACAGTGTTTTCATTTTCATTAATCTGTTACAGGTATAGGCTGAAACATAAGAGAGTTAATATTAGAGCAGTAAAGCATTGGTGTAGACAGATATTGCAGGGTCTTCTTTATCTCCACAGCCATGACCCTCCTATTATTCATAGAGATCTCAAATGTGATAACATTTTCATTAATGGGAACCAAGGAGAAGTGAAGATTGGTGACCTTGGCCTTGCTGCAATTCTTAGGAAATCCCACGCTGTTCATTGTGTAGGTAAGGTTTGAACCTTCCCTAATTTCCTCGACTCTTATTTAATAGTTTTTGAGTTTTAATTCATACAAACTAGGAGCATTTGACACGTATTTTTCTGTAGCTTCAATTTGCATCGATAAGTATAATGATGGAATTGTTTAAGGACAGACTCCATGTTTCAAATTTGACGCTGCATTAGTTTTGATTTGTATTAGTAACTCTCAGGAACACCAGAGTTCATGGCTCCAGAGGTGTATGCAGAGGAATACAATGAATTAGTGGATATTTATTCATTCGGTATGTGCGTTTTGGAAATGGTGACGTTTGAATATCCATATAGTGAATGCACTCACCCTGCCCAGATTTATAAGAAAGTGATCTCTGTAAGAACTTGAACCTTGTATTTATGCTGTCAGTTACAGCATGTTTGGCTAAGCTTTAAAAATGGCCAACTTACTATTCTGTCATATAAAAAAAAAATGGAAGTAAAATTTTGTACTAAAATTTCGAAAGAAGTAACTTTTGAAAAACCCCGGCACAAAAAGTTAGAAGTAAGCTTAGCCAACCATGTGCAAGAAACTTCCCTCTGAAACTTGAGGTAACTGATCTGCTTTTTTATCTAGGGAAAGAAGCCGGATGCTCATTACAAGGTTAAGGATCCTGAGGTGCATCGATTTGTCGAGAAATGTTTAGCTACAGTGGCCGACAGGCTATCAGCGAGAGAGCTTCTTAATGACCCTTTCCTCCAGATTGATGATAATAATTCTGATTTGAGGCCATTAGATTATTGTAGAGATTACGATGAAGTCAATCCTAGGTTAAGGCAACCGGTCTTGAGTGTTCATAATAGCAGTTCTTTCAATGATTACTCCAATTATCAAGGTTATGAGCAAGAGAATGACTTGGATTGCCATTCTATTGAATACGAGGCAAATGAAATAGATTTGTTCATGAGTCAAGAGGATGATCACTTGGAAAATGTAGACATTACAATCAAAGGGAGAAGAAAAGAAGACAATGACATCTTTTTAAGACTAAGAATTGCAGATAAAGAAGGTATGTTTTAGTTTCATTTAATTATAGTAGTCCAATTATCATCTCTTTACATGCACTACTGGATAGAACTAGGGAGTCTAGTAGACCATGCTCAACTCTTTTACACTGGTCTTTGCAGGTTGTATCCGAAATATTTATTTTTCCTTTGACATTGAAACTGACACGGCTTTGAGTGTTGCTGCTGAAATGGTTGCCGAGTTGGATATCACCGACCAAGACGTGACTAAGATAGCAGAGATGATCGACAGTGAGATTGTTTCCTTGGTTCCAGAGTGGAAGAGGGGCAAAGAAATTCTCGATGATGCAAACAATAGTTACTGTCAAAATTGTGCTTCAGATGGTTCTCTTGTCGACTATTTATCCTCACATGGGCTAGGCAAAAACCTTCAAGTTCTTCAATGCTCGAAGCACGGATGTGGTGAAGTACATGGACGGTTTGAAGAGATCACGTACCAGTTTGAGGCGCCCGAGGAATGTGTTACAGAAGGTGCTCCAGTGGCGTCGAGCCAGTCTAATGGCATGCACTATACTGATATCTGGGCACAACACGAGGGTCCTGAATTAACTTCTGGTGATAATGATAAATATGAAACTGTTGACCAATCAAGGAAGGACGACAGAACTACGAGGATTGACAAGAAGTCCTCCAATGTGAGAGGTTCCCTGACTAAAACTTCTTCGACTCTGGCAGAAGATTATGAGAACAAGATAAGGCAGGAGCTGAGGTGGTTCAAGGCCAAGTATCAAATGCAGTTGAGAGAGCTTAGAGATCAACAACTTGGGGTTCTGTCAAATTATTCTACTTCTGATTCCAGCACGCCGAAAGAAGAGAAGGGTGAGGGTGATGTTCCACTTAACTCTTTTGCACCCGGGAAACAATTTACTACATTCAAATCCATAAATGGCAAAACACATCGTATAAATCAAAAGGTTCACGGTTACGAGTCTGCATATAATTCTTGTTGTCCAGATCATACGATCACTGCCAAAAGTTTCTATGCTGGTTCATTGTTTCAAAATTCACTTCAAAGGGCCACCTCTCTACCAGTTGATGCTACGGATATCTAAGTTTTTGCTTTTGCTCCATGGTGGGAGTTCCACAGTTATTACAGCTTGTAGATTCTCAACTTCAAGCAAAAGTGAATTCCACTTGAGTAGAAATGATATTTTACATTTCCAACTTTGTAGCGGAAAAGTAATGGACGACAGACTCGATTAAAGAAAGAACTGAGAAGTTAAAATCTTCTTGTTGTCTCATGTAGTGTCATTCAATAATTCATATCAAATGTTGCCCTTAATGCACCAAATTTATGCTAGTCATTACAAATCAACTCTCCGAAGTTATCTTTTTCGATTTGTGAACGGTAGAGTCGACCTTCCTTGCGAAATGTTATTATTAATATAAGGATTAAGTCTTCAAATTTTGATTTAAAGTGCGACATTTTAAATATTGTCTACTATAAAAAAGACATTCTTCTCCTCTTCATCTCTCCTACTTCTCATCCCAAGCCATTACTTTGTCCAGGGTGAGGGAGAGGGTTTTCCCAAGATTAGACACCTCCATACCGAGTTGATCTTGTATGACAATGAAATATGAAAGATTTGATTCGTAACCTAGATACAAGACTTGTTTGGCACAGTTTTTGAAAAGTCAAAGCAACTTTTGAGACTCAAAAGTTATTTTTGGATTCGTTTGATTAGTTTTATAAAATTTATTTTTGTAGTTAAAAAAACTTTTAGAGAAAGTTAATCCAACGTGATTTCTTCTAAAAATTATTTTAGAAGAGAAAACACTTCAGAAATTGGTTTTCAAAAACTAGTTAAGGTATCTTCTTCAAACTCTTAAAAAAAAACAAAAATAAAAGTAAAAATAGATACCCTGCCAAACAGGCCTTAATATTACTAGACCTTCCATCTCTTTTGACAATTAAAGTAAACCATCTAATGCAATGCCCTATTCTATGACAAATTGGTGGTGCTGCTCTAGAAAAGAAAAGTTAGGGTGGTTACACGAGTAGACCATCCACTCAATGGAATACCAACCAAAGATTCCCATAGCCCTAGTTGCCTACTTTCAGTAAGATATTTAAGCCCCCTTTTCATTAGAACTAAAGGTAAAATGAATGATTACAAAGTATAGTTTTTTGTTTCTTTGTACACAAGAGAAAATGGGAAAGTAGATAGACACACTTACATGGGTGGATATGAAGCCTTCATGCTTTTCTCAAGTCTCAACCCTCTTAATAATGTAATCAAGTATCTCTAATAATGCGATATCAATAATTTTGAAACTGCCTTCTAATTATAGGTGCACTGGACTCCTATCCACACTAGATGAGACAATGGTTCAATATTGTGTCACATAAACGAATGTTCGAACTTCAGGATCCACTTTTAACTTCATACTTGTCTATTAAAAGTTCATGTAATGTGCTTTTTCAATTTTACGTGCCAAAAACATAGTCAATCAACCAAGCCAATACCATTCTTTTTTTAGTATATGAAACATACTATTAGATTCAAAGTTTTGCCCTTTGTTAGAGCTACGACCAAGTAGAGTGCATCTCTCAATTATCTTGTTCTTAATTGTATTACATACTGGCTTGACGCTATTTTTTCTTCTAAAATATCATGTGTCAGCATACCCTTTTCATGTCTGTATTTATGTATCATGATGCTCATCAAACTCAAACAAATCTAAACTATGCATCACTCAAACCCGAATCATTAACCTAAACATATTCTTTCTTACTTTTACTGTAAACTCTCTGATCCATTGTTGTCTTCACTCTCTTTATAATAATCGAGCACCTAGTTGACTTTTTTTCTTTAATGCATCCCATGATTTTTAGTCTTCCCTTCGTTTATATTCATCAATTATGTAAAACTAGTTGTATTTCAATCCGCTTCACATGAAATTCAACCCAAATATACCATTTCAAGAAAATACATCATGAGCCATATGATTTTGTAATTTTGGTAGTCTAAAATTGTCGCAGACGAACAAGGAAATAAAGAGATAACCCCAAAACACCGGGAAAAATGTTAAGAAAATTTTAGAAAAATTGATTATAAAGGAGGTGAATGATTAAGAAGCACGTCACACTAAGCTAAAAATAACTTTTTAAGTAAATTACCTTCCTTAATAGCATATTTATATTTGCTTAAAAGTGATTAAAAACTACTTTTTTAAAGAAGTACGTCTCTTAATTTACTATTTTTCAATTTATTCTAAACAGTCATTATACGAAAAATCAATAGAGTTACACAAAAGCAAGACAAAGAAACTCAAGTACTAGAAAACATTTTAAACTAGACTTAATAGCACAAAACGTCCATACGTTTGGTATGTAGTGTGCAAAACGTCCCTACGTTTCATTTTTTTTTTTTTTTGCATTTTTGCCCTTATTTCAACGTTTCATTGCGGAAAACCTCATTTTCACCGTTTTTAGTGTAAAATAACCAATATACCCTTCTATATAAATAAAAAAATAAATAAATTAAAAAAATAAACTGTAATTATACTCCTAAACTTTTTAAAAAATGTAAGTGAGTCCAAAAACCTTATTAAAAGGTTTTAGCACAAAACGTCCTTACGTTTGACACTTATTGCGGAAAACGTCCTTACGTTTCAAACGTTTTGTACTTGGCTCAATAGCACAAAACGTCCCTACATTTGACATTTATTGCGTAACACGTCCTTACGTTTCATTTNTTTGACATTTATTGCGAAAAACGTCCTTACGTTTCAAACTTTTTGTACTTGGCTCAATAGCACAAAACGTCCCTACGTTTGACACTTATTGCGTAAAACGTCCTTACGTTTCATTTCTTTTGCATTTTCGTCCTTATTTCAACGTTTCATTGTGGAAAACGTCATTTCACTATTTTTGAATGTAAAATGACCAATATACCCTCATATTTAAATAAAACAAAAAATAAAAATAAAAAAATAAATTATAATTATACTCCCAAACTTTTTAAAAAGTGCAAATGAATTCAAAAACCTTATTAAAATATTCAAACCATCAGCATCTCCTCCTCCCTCAGCCTTATCCTCCCTCCACCACCTAAACCACCAGACCCCACCACCATTCAAACCATCTCACCTCCTTCTACAATACTGGGGCTGATGGTTGTGGCCAACATTAACAGTGGTGGTAGAGCTGGTTCTTGGCCAGACATTGATCGGAGGTTGTAAAGGGAGGTGAGATGGTTTAAATGGCCAACCTTATTCATTTTTTTGTTTTATTTAAATATGACGGTATATTGATCATTTTACATTAAAAAATACTGAAAATGACGTTTTTCGCAATGAAACGTTGAAATAAGAACGAAAATGCAAAAGAAATGAAACGTAATGACGTTTTACGCAATAAGTGTCAAACGTAGGAACGTTTTGTGCTAGTGAGCCAAGTACAAAAAGTTTGAAACGTAAGGACGTTATCCACAATAAGTGTCAAACGTAAGGAC